CACGGAAAAAGACAAAAGAAAAAAAAAAAAAAAAAAAAAAAGAAAAATCCACAGAGACAGAAAATAGATTAGTACTTACCAGGGGCTGGAAGGAGGGGAGAATGGGGAGTGGTGATTGCTAATGAGTATGAGTTTTCTTATGAGTGGGTTGGAGTGGTGATGAAAATGTTCTGGAATTAGATATTGGTGATGGTTGCACAACTTTGTGAATAAACTAAAAAACCACTGAATTGTATTCTTTAAAAAAGTGAATTTTATGGTATATGAATAACATCTCAAAAAAGAAATCACCAGGCATTCAAAGAAGCAAGAAGATAATGACCTGTAGTCAAGAGAAAGAAATCAACAGAACAGACCAAAAAAACAGAGATGACAGAATTATAGATAAGGACATTAAAACAACTATTAAAATTTATTTCATCAAGATTGTATTAGTCCGTTTCTGTTGCTTACAACAAAATACAGGGAACTGGGTAATTAATAAGAATATGAAATGTATTGCTTACAGTTTCTGAGGCTAGGAAGTCCAAAGTCCAGGGAACACATCTGGTAAAGGCTTTTTTTGGTGCTGATTTCAGTGTGATACACTGCCCAATTGTGGAGCAGAGAGAGCAAGAGATACCAACCTCCTCATTCACTCTCTTTTTAAAGCCCTCATAACCACGCCCATGACCACCATTTTTAATCCATTCATTATGGCATGGTCCTGCAATCTAATCACCTTTTCAAGACCCCAGCTTTCAATTACCATAATAGGATTTTCCACCTTCGTAACACTGTCACAGTGGGGGTCAAGTTTTAGGGGGACATTCAACCCAAAGTAAAGGTCAAGGGTTCAGATCTCCATACCAGCCAGGTGCCCCCAAAATAACCCCCAAACAAACAAATAAAAAATTTATTTCATATTTTCAAAAAGTTAAAGGAAAGAATGATCATAATGAGAAGAGAAATGAAAGATATAAAAAAAGACCCAAGTTGAACCTATAGTAATGAAAAATAAAATATCTGAAATAAAAAATGTACTGGGCTGGCCAGTTAGGTCAGTTGGTTAGAGTGTAGCCTTGTAACACCAAGGTCAAGGGTTCGATTCCCCATACTGGCCAGCACCACCCCCCACCCCCCAAAAAAGATAATGTCTGAGAAATTTCTAAATATGGTAAAAATGGGCCGGCCCGGTGGTGCACTGGAGAGTGCGCCACTTGGGAGTGCGGCAGCGCTCCCGCCGAGGGTTCGGATCCCATGTGGAGACCGGTTCCCACTCACTGGCTGAGCGTGGTGCGGGCGCAACACCGAGGGTTGCGATCCCGTTAGCGGTCAGTAAAAAAGACAAAAAGGAAAAAAAAATAAAAACAAAAAAAAATAAATATGGTAAAAACTATAAACCTACGGCTCCGAGAAACTCAAGAAACCATAAGCAGAAGAAACATGAAGAGGGCCGGCCCATGGCTCACTCAGTAGAGTGCGGTGCTGATAACACCAAGTCAAGGGTTAAGATCCCCTCACCAGTCATCTTTTTTTAAAAAAAGAAGAAACATGAAGAAAACTACACCACATCAAGGCAGATCATAATCAAATTTCTAAAAACTAGCAATATGAGGAAAATGTTAAAAGCAGCCAGAAAAAAAGGTATATCATGTACAGAGGAACAAATATAGAATGACAGCAGAATTCTTCTCAGAAGTCATGCGAGTCTGAAGACAATAGAGTGACATCTTCAAAGTACTATAAGAAAAAATCCTACAGGGCCGGCCCGTGGCTCACTCGGTAGAGTGCGGTGATGATAACACCAAGGCCCCGGGTTCGGATCCCATATAGGGATGGCTGGTTTGCTCACTGGCTGAGCGTGGTGCTGACAACACCAAGTCAAGGGTTAGGATCCCCTTACCGGTCATCTTTTAAAAAAAAAAGAAAAAATCCTACAGCCTCTAGAGCCAGCTCCAGCACCACTGGTGGAGCATGGGCCTGCTCTTCACTGAGTCACTACAGAACTAGATCCACTTTCGTCTTTATAGCCAGCACAAGCGCCAAGAATTCAACCTAGAATTCTGTACCCAGCAAAAATATCTTTCAAAAAGGAAGGTGATGGGCTGGCCAGTTAGCTCACTGGGAAGAGTGTGGTTCTGATAACACCAAGGTCAAGGGTTCGAATCCCTGTACCAGCCAGCCATTAAAAAAAAGAAAAAAAAGTAAGGTGAAGGGCCGGCCCGGTGGCGCAATGGAGAGTGCGCCTTTTGGGAGCGCAGTGGCGCTCCCGCCGAGGGTTCGGATCCCATGTGGAGACCGGTTCCCGCTCACTGGCTGAGCGTGGTGCGGGCGCAACACTGAGGGTTGCGATCCCGTTGCCGGTCCCAGTACGGACGCGACACCGAGGGTTGCGATCCCGTTACCGGTCAGTAAAAAAGACAAAAAAAAGGGGAAAAAAAAGAGAGAGAGAACTGTCGTAAGGTGAAGTAAAGATTTTTTCTGACAAACAAACGCAAAAAGAATTGCTAGCAGACCTACACTATAAGAAATGTTAAAGAAAGTTCAGGCAGGGGGCCAGCCCGTGGCTCACTTGGGAGAGTGTGGTGCTGATAACACCAAGGCCACAGGTTGGGATCCCTATACAGGGATGGCCAGTTAGCTCACTTGGGAGAGTGCAGTGCTGACAATACCAAGTTAAGGGTTAAGATCCCCTTGCTGGTCATCTTTAAAAAAAAAAAAAAAAAAAAAAAAAAAGAAAGTTCAGGCAGAAGAAAATTAAATTTGGATTGAAATTTAAATCTACACAAAGAAATGAAGAGCACCAGAAATGGCAAATATGTGGGTAAATATAAACTGCCTTGAACCATTTTGGGGAAGAAACAAGATATAAATAGATAAGAAATAAACACAATCACAAGTAGAGGGAAAAAAAACTCATAGGAAAATTAGGTTCTAATTTTCTTTCTTTCTTTCTTTTTTTTTTTTTTTTTGGTGGCTAGCTGGGCAAGGATCCAAACCCTTGACCTTAGTATTATCAACATGGCATTCTAACCAACTGAGTTAAGCATCCAGCACTCTAATTTTTTTTTTTTTTTTGTCCTTTTTGAGACCGGCTGAACGGCGCTCAACCCGCGGCGGGAGCGCTGCTGCGCTCCCAGCGCCGCACTCTCCCGAGTGCGCCACGGGCTCGGCCCCAGCACTCTAATTTTCTTATGGCAGCTCTCCAATCTGCATGCCCTTGGGTAAAATCTAACCCTTCTACAGAAAAGAAGATGCAAAGACCCATTTGTCTATGACAACTCCTCTCAGATTTCACATTTCATTGGCCCTAAAAGTCACTACAGGCAGAACTGAAGGTAGGCAACGTTACAGCCACTCTAGACTAATCTACCAATGTCTGCCAACCACACTGACCTCACTTTTGTCTTATAGGACCAAGATATATTTATCATGCCAGGGCTGGCTGGTTAACTCAGTTGGTTAGAGTATGGTTGGATCCCCTTACCAGCCAACTGCTAAAATTTAAAAAAAAATAAAGAAAAATAAAAACATTTATCATGCGAGAAATGGAAAGTCAAGATTGATTCTTCTTTTTTTTTCCTTCCCCATACATCCAGCGCTTCATTAAGTTCTGGCAAATCTCCTACTTTAATATCTCTCGAATCCATTCATTTGCTTCCATTTTCATCCACATTAATCCAAGCCACCATGATCTCTCAGATGATCACTTCTAAACTGATCTCCTGGCTTTAAACTTACCAATCCATTCTTCATAATACATCCAAATAGATTTTTCTAAAATGTAGAGTTGGTCATGTCTCTCCTTTTCAAAACCTTTCAATGGTTTCTCATTGCCCTCAGAATAAATTTGAAAATCCTGAATGAGGCCTGTAAGGCCTCCCTGGTATAGCCCTTGCCCACCTCTCCATCCTCATCTCACACCACTCCCCCTCCACTCTCAACTCGCTGCTCTACACATACTGTGATTTCCTCAAAAACAATATGCTCTTTCCTACTTAGGTTCCTTCATACATACTATTTTCTCTGCCTATAATCCTCTTCCCTCACTCTTTAGCTAGTCAATTCCAATTCGGCCTTCAGGGCTCACTTTAAATGCCATTTCCATCAAAAAGTCACTAAATTTATGGTAATTTGTTACAGCAACAATAGGAAACTAATAGGCATAGGATGAAGGAGATAAGGGACTAAACACAAAAGAAAGGCAAAGAAATCATGGGGATAAAAGTGAAGGGAAATATAGGATGACAGCTGAGTAAAAGGTTGAACAGGTCCAGATTAGAGCAGGTCAAAAGACTCAGAGAGAGATGACTCCAAGAAGATAAAACTGATAGAATATCAGATGTATTTGAATGTATTAAAAGGAGAGGTACCAGCACGTTGGGGCCTGCCTGGGAACTGGAGGCTTGGATCCAGGGACTGGACTCCACTCCCACTTCCACACAAACTGTGTCAGTGCCTTGGGGCCTGCCCAGGGACCCAAAGCTTGTAGAAGGGGACTAGACCTCTCTTCCACAACCAGGCACACCATGCCAGCACCTCAGGGCCCATCCTGGGACCCAAGGCATGGAGAAGGGGACTGGACCACCCTCCCACAATGAGGCACATCATGCCAGTGCCTCGGGGCGTGCCCAGGGTCCAGAGGCATGGAGAAGGGGACCAGACCCTCCTCCCACAACCAGGTAAGCCACGCCAGCACCTCGGGGCCTGCCCAGAGGCCCAGGGCATGGAGAAGGGGACCAGACTGCCCTCCTACAACCAAGCACACTGTGCCAGCACTTCAGGGCATGCCCTGGGACCTGAGACTTGGAGAAGGGGACTGGACCCTCCTCCTACAACCAGGCACACCGTGCCAGCACCTTGGGGCCTGCCCAGGGACCTGAGGCATGGAGAAGGGAACCAGACCACCCTCTTTCAACAAGGTACACCATGCCAGCACCTCAGGGCCCACCTAGGGACCCAGGGCATGGAGAAGGGGACCAGACCCTCCTCCCACAACCAGGCAAATGGAGCCAGCACCTTAGGGCCCACCTAGGGACCAGAGGCATGGAGAAGGGGACCAGACACACCCCACAATCAGGCACACTGCCAGCACCAAGGAGCATGCCAAAAACATCACCTCCTTTTGGTAGCCCACCACAGCCACCACAATAACCATGGCTGTCGTGAAAGTGGCTAGACGCCACAACCACCACGCAGGTGGTCTGCCAACCAGTGGAGTGCATTGACACAAGGAGAGTCACCAGCAGAGACAAAGAAAAGAAGAGGATGTCTCTCTCCACAAAGCTCATTTCAGAGTGACAGAAGAAGCATCTGCTCTAAGATAATATTGGGGGACCTGATCATACCTCTCAGCATTGGACATATCAGCTAGGCAACAAATCAACAGAATAACCATTATTCTTTCAGAAGGAGAGAAGTAATCTAGGGTAATTAGAGGGGGGAGGAGGGAGGGAATGGGGGAAGAGGAGAGATTGGACAAGAGGCATAAAGAATAATTATGATTTGGGGCCGAACCCGTGGCGCACTCGGGAGAGTGCGGCGCTGGGAGCGCAGCAGTGCTCCCGACGCAGGTTTGGATCCTATACAGGGATGACCAGTGCACTCACAGCGCTCACTGGCTGAGCGCGGTACGGCCAGTCTCAAAAAGGACAAAAAAAAAAAAAGAATAATTATGATTTGTAACAATATATACGCTAGTAACATTGATTTGATCAACATATCTAAATGTTCAACCCAAAAAATATGTATAATCGATTTTGATTCAATAAATAAATTTTAAAAATTAATAAATAAAAATAAATGTACTGAGGAATAAAAAATAAATAAAATAAAAGGAGAGGTAAAGAAGGGAGAGTTTGAAAATAAATTAGTGATAAGTTCATAGAAAATTAAGCAGACAAACAATATTAACTCCAAAAAGCACAAAAGGTTGTGTAATATAAAAGTAATCATAATACACAACATAGCTCAGGTGTAAATAACAATTAAATACTTTGAATAATATAAACACTGAATATTGATCTAACCAAAATTAAGATATATCTATGTTAAGGATAGTAGGATGGGAAGTATGCTTGAGGGAATAATGGCAGGGTTGTGAAAGAGAACAAAATCCTCTTCCACACACAGCAAGAAGCTGACATAAGATGCCTGGAACTGAAAAATTAAGAAGTTGCTGTATAAACAGTATAGTTAGAAATATAGAGGTAACGGGGCCGGCCCGTGGCTCACTCAGGAGAGTGCGGTGCTGATAACACCAAGGCCCTGGGTTTGGATCCCACATAGGGATGGCCGGTTCGCTCACTGGCTGAGCGTGGTGCTGACAACACCAAGTCAAGGGTTAAGATCCCCTTACCGGTCATCTTTAAAAAAAAAAAAAAAGAAAGAAATATAGAGGTAAGGGCCGGCCTGTGGCTCACTTGGGAGAGTGTGGTGCTGACAACACCAAGTCAGGGGTTAAGATCCCCTTACTGGTCATCTTTTAAAAAAAGAAAAGAAAAAAGAAATATAGAGGTAAATACCAGAAGAAACACTTTATAGGAGTTCAAAGTGGTTGCTTTTGGAGATGGGAAATTGATTAAAATTTCCTAAGGACTGTTATTTTTCACCATAAGCCTTGTAAAGCTATTTGACTTTATAAATTATGTACATCCATAATTTTGTTTAAAAAATAAAACAAAAAATATAAATTAAAAACCACTACCATGCTTAGCCTGAAAATTAACTTTTTTTTCTATTAATGAAGACTTAATATAATTGGGAAAATGATTCTAAAACTTTATCCCAAAGTTTGCATCTCAAAGGTATCTCTTGCTTCAAGAGAACTATTTTGTATTTCACATTTTTAGGGTTTTTATTTCAACTTGATGTGCAATGTTTTCCTCTGATATTATAAATTATTTGAAATGGTTTAATATTATTCAACAACGTGAGCAGCATATCACGACTGTTTTAGAAAATGGCAAGAGAATGACAGAAGAAGCATCCATTTGTTTCTATGGAAAAGAACCTCATTAGGGGCCTCCAAGTTTAACCTCCCCAATCTCCATACGAATTTAGTTTAGTATCAGTTAGATTTTAAAGGTAAATGCTAAAAAACCAATAATTCACCTCAGACTCTAACTCAAATGGAAACGGATACCAAAGTAGCAGAAACATTTCATTTCTTACCACCTGCTCCTTCCAAAATGCCCCGGACCACTGCCTGCACACCACTGGGTCTCATCAACCTTTCAGAGAGCATCTGCCCACAGAGACGCCGGAGCCAAGCTGGGGCCTGACACCTAAGCTGTGTCTTCACATCTGTGCAGGGCTGAAAAAAGGAAAGGGAAGGTATGAATTCCAAATGTCAATGAAATAGATACAACTTTTTTTTTAAGTACTAGGTCATACTGACAATTAACAGTATGCTATACAGACTTCAAAAGAGCAACAGTGTTTCCTTAAAAAAAAAAAAAGACTGTTCTTTACAAAACCTTCTTTGGCATTACTTTTAAGAAAGTTGAAATACAGTGAAATATCAAGTGAAATTTCAAAACCAGAGAAAGACAAACATGCCAGTAAATAGAATGTAGATCTTGATAACACAATGTAAATGCAACCACTTCTTTTTTTTTTTTTGTCCTTTTTTTTGAGACCGGCTGCACCGCGCTCAGCCAGTGAGCGCACCGGTCATCCCCATATAGGATCCGAACCTGCGGCGGGAGCACTGCTGCGCCCCCAGCGTGGAACTCTCCCGAGTGCGCCACGGGCTTGGCCCGAAATGCAACCATTTCTGAATGCAGTCCTTCCAATCAAATCTACCTTCCAAAGAAGATTCTCATAATATTATCCACCACTAAGAGGAGTGTTCACAGAAGTGAGGGAGCTCTCTTGCCCTTGCCTATGTGGTCCTAGCTACTCTCTGATTCCTGCAACACAGCACTTTCAAGAAAGAATTGGATTTCTTCAAGCGTTCCTTTTTGAGAGCTCTGTGGAGCCACCATGAACAAAACAGTCTTGATGTCACTTATTTTGGGCTAGAACATCAAAGTTGTTGCTACCAATCATTGCACTTAACTATATGAACATCAAAATTAGTTGCAGAAATATTTAATCCTAACTAGCCTGTCCTCTCTTTTTTTTAAGGAGGATTAATAATTACCATTTATTGAGGGGTTATTATGTACCAGGCACTATGCTAAGTACCTCGCACATAATCTCAGAAGAAACTTACAAGGAAGGCACTGCTATTATCCCCATTTAATGTGTAAGGAAACTGAGGAATGGAAAGGTTTATAAATTCATACATCTGCACACTGGGGTTAATCAAGACGTGCCTCACCCAAGGGACTCTGCTTTCCACCACTCTCTTATAATGTATTTGGTTTAATATGGCAAACTGTGGACTCATTCACAGAAACAGAGTATGAGGCCAGAGAGGACTGATGGAAGGCTATTGTAATATTCTAGGGATGAGATGAAAATGACTTCCACTAGATTTCTCTGTAGCCAGCTTCAGCTGGTCCTTATTCCTGACCTATGGCCAATTCCAGTTAGATTCTCATAACTAAAATTAGACAGTTCCATCTACATTATCAAATTAAATCATTTCAGATAAATAATTATTTTTCGGGGGAAAAAGAAACAATCTTATGCCTAGCAGAATATATACTATTATGTGTTTCAAACAATGGAGCTAAGAATAGAACCAATAATAGCTCTAGTTTTAATTTCTTGACTTCAAATACTCCATTCAAAGGATTAAGTGTCCAAATACTTCTGTCAAAGGAAAATATTCTCAAACAGCCAAATTTTAGTTTTAAAAAAATCCAGTTTCAGAATGAATAAAATATATTTCATACAAAATGGCCATAACTCTTAAAAAAAAAAAGTGATCACAATATTCTTAGAAAAAGTGTTCATCATTCCATTAAAGAAAAGGTCTTTTAAATTACCCTAAGGGTCAGTGTCACTTAGTTTTATAAGTATTATTTAATGATCTAAGAGATGAAATAAGGCTCAACTGGATTGTTAAACAGGGAACTAAAGTCATCTAATTTTCCAAGAGAAGAGGACAGCATACCACACATCATCATTAATGATTCATCCACAGAGTCCCCAGGCCTGAATACCTGGAGTGGTCCTCCCTGGAGGATAAGTAATTCCCGGACTGCTAATGGTTGATACACTTGATCCAAGATGTCTCTCAAGAACCCCCTGGATAGGGTTCTTTCCTCTTCGGTTAAAACCTAAAAGAAATATGCACTTGGCTTTAGTGGAATACAAACCAGGCAGACAATAGAAGTTTTTTTTTTTAAAAGATGACCGGTAAGGGGATCTTAACCCTTGATTTGGTGTTGTCAGCACCACGCTCAACCAATGAGCTAACCGGCCATCCCTATATGGGATCCGAACCCACGGCCTTGGTGTTATCAGCACCACACTCTCCCGAGTGAGCTATGGGCCGGCCCAACAATAAAAGTTTTTTTAATACTGAACAAAGATACCTGTAATGGGGATTGGTGGGTTAGCTCACTTGGTTACAGCACAGTGCTGGTAACACCAAGGTCAAGGATTTGGAACCCAATACTGGCCAGCCACCAAAAATAAATAAATAAATTAGGATACTTGTAAAGGGAGAAGGAAGGCTTCTAAGCCCTCTTGATTTCCTTCTACATGGAGGAAGCTGTACTACTAAAACACTCTTGGCCATCTCTCCACCCCTCATTCACTCTACTTCTGGGCTAGAGATGTGACTTATTTTATTGGTGAGTGAGGAATAAACTCACTTATTGGCCAGTTTTGCCATGCTCTGCTTAGCTTGTTCCTCTTCTGTCTTTTGGGAGTGAACATTCTGTTCTGCTCTTCCTTGCTGTGTATTTTACGGAGGCATATTCCCTTCCATGGGGCAGAAGCCAGTGCTCTTTAAACAGCGTGAGCAGTAATTGCATCTAATTCTGGAGTGCAGTGTTAGGAAGATTTGTCTCCATCTATAAGCTACATCCTCCAACTTTGCCTTTATAAGCAATAGAGGTGACATTTTGACTTTCCACCCCTCTCACTCTGTCAACTGTCTTTGAATTTATTCAGAACTTGGGCAGCAAAGAGGGGTGCTAATTGGGGGGCACCTTCAGCTCTAACAGTACTGTCCTCCTTTGGTAATTACTAGTCACAGTCAAACAGTCAGGGCCCTGCCCATTACCATTTTGCATACCATTAAGTATGGGTGCTACTTAGAGCAGCAGCTATGGATGGGACTTTGTCCAGCTTCCTAATGTACACCCACCATATTTACCCTTCTGTCAACTCCCTCTCCCAGCTTCCTATTTGGTTACTTCTGTGTGTTTCCCTTTTCTTTTCTCTCTCCTGCCTCACACCCCAAGGACACTGCTCAGCCTCAGTAATAGTAATAAGACCTGTCAACCCAGATCCCCCAGTCTCAGGGCAGTGCAGGCAGTAGGCACTGCTACAACTGTCAAGATGCATAATCCTGCAGGAAAGAGTAGGTGCTCTGCTCTCATAATATAAAGGCACTAGGGAGCTCCTAATTTCATGCCACTGCTTGGATGACAGTGACTTTTAGGCAAATGTTTTTGAACATAGGCAGGAGAGAGAATAGAAAAGAACAAACAGAAAAAGATGAGGAAGACCTAGAAAGGTGACAGAGAAATGAGGGCATTGTGAGACCTGGTGGTGGCTAAGGAATCACTTAGCCTATGAGCCACACCAACCCTCCATACACTTATATCTTAACAGCTTCTTGCTAGTTTCTATGCTGATGCCGTGTTCCTCCTATGGGAGGAGTAGTGGTCCCTACTATGTCATACTTGTAAGTCCTATCTCCCAAATTAGTGTGTGAGTTATGTGAAGAAAAGGACCACCATGTCTTATATTTCTGAAACCTCCACAGCAACTTCTGTAGTACAGGCACTCAACTGCTTACTGACTGACAGCAAAAAATAGGCCCATTCCCCAACACCTGATAAGAATGACGAGCATTGTTTGAGTTATGCAGTGTACCAGGTGCTCTACATACTTTACTTCTTTTAATCCGCTCAAGAACTTAAAGAAGGAGGTATGAATAGTTTATTTTTTTATTTTTTTTATTTTTTTTTTGTCTTTTGTCTTTTTCCGTGTCCGGCAACGGATCGCAACCCTCAGTGTTGCCCCCGTACCGGACCGGGGACCGGCAACGGGATCGCAACCCTCGGTGTTGCTCCCGCGCCTCGCTCAGCCAGTGAGTGGGAACCGGTCTGTATGTGGGATCCGAACCCTCGGCGGGAGTGCCACCGCGCTTCCCAAGCGGCGCACTATCCAGTGCGCCACCGGGCCGGCCCGAGGTATAAATAGTTTAATACTAATTCTAGTAGTAATTACTTTTTGATGAGTACTTCTGAGGATTGGGCTAGGTCCTTTATACACATTAACCTTAATTCTCACAACCACCCTCCAAGGCAAGTATTATTATACCCATTTTACAAAAGAAGAAATAGAGGCTCAAAGAAATAGCCTGCAATAGCTGTTCCACAAAATGACAAGGGACATATGGATGAAATGGACTATCCAGGTATGCAAAGGATCCAACAAATGAAATCTCCAACCCCCCCCCCAAAAGATTCATGTATCCACCAGATATGTTTTGGCATTCAATAAGAATTCTAGGTCTTTCAATAAGCCTGCTTCCAAAGAAATGACTTGTCTTTTTATAACAAGCACACACAAGTATATATACACACACACACTCACTCACTCTCTTTCTCTCTCAATGTATGTTTACCTCTTCCGCAGATGTTGGTGGTTTTCGTTTGGCAGGGCAGAATCCCAGCTGGCAAAGACCTGCAGCAATATCCCCAAAATGGCGGCAGAAAATCAAGCTCCCCAGAGATGCATGCTTAGCAACATTGAGAAGTACCTTGCAGGTGGTGTACAGTCTCCGGGTTGCATGGGGGGCAGCATCAAGACACACCAGATCTTGAACAACGGCACCAAACTCAGTCCTGTATCTCAAAGGGACTCCAACACCCGGCATGAGATAGGGGCAGACACCCAAGGTAACTACAAACTGCAAAACAGACTGGACAGTCTTCTGCTGTGAGATACTAAGTGTGTCAGGGCTCAGGGCAGGAGCAACTTCTGGAGTCCTAGGGTTGGGTTTACCTGGATTGAAATCAGCTGCAAGGTGGATCATGGTTTCCTTTAAGCACAATAGCAACAACAAGGTTTGCGAGGTAAAACTCCAAGTGACATCAACAGAATTTTGTGGCCATTCTACCTTATTAGCAACTTCATCTCTTAGGAGTTTCAATTTCTTCCACTGAGGATCCTTCAGAAACTTGTCCTCCAAAGCAGACAGGTTAGATTTTAAAGTAGCCAACAAGACATCTTGTTTTGTGATCTGCAGTGAACTTGAGCCTGAGCCTTTTGAAGAAAAAAAGGAGATTATATACAAGGAAAACAAATTGTACTTCCCTCATATGCCTTGCCCACTCCAGTTCATCCTCTGAGACCTAGCTAGGTCACTAGCTCTATGAACAAATAACGGAATATTTTGTGGCCATTAAATGATATTGAACATTATTTAATATGTTCATAACAGGCTGGCTGGTTAGCTCAGTTGGGTAGAGCTCAGCCTTATAACCTCAAGGTCATGGGTTTGGAACCCCATACCTGCCAGCTGCCAAAAAAAAGGAAAAAAAAGTTCAAAATATATTCTCATGTGAACAAAGAGTATAAAACACTAAGTGAGCAAAAAGTATGAACAGACAGTTTATATTGAAAGAAATGCAAATGGCCCTTAAACATAAAAATATGATCAATCTTGCTTATAATAAGAAAAAAGCAAATTAAAGCTATACAGAAATATCACTTCCCATCTATCAAACTGGCTTAAATCCAAAAGTTTCATAACACATTCTGTGGCAAGTCTGTAGGGAAACACACACTCTCATACATTATTGATAGGAACTAAACTGGTACATTCCTAAGGAGAGAAATTTGGCAATATCTAGCAAAATTACATAGACATTTTTACCTTTTGTCCCAACAATCCCAATTTTAGGACATAAGCAAAAATGCAAAATGACATATTCATAAGACTATTCATTGCATTACTTCTGGTATTAGCAAAAGACTTGAAACAACCTAAGTGTCCATTAATAGAGAACTGGTTAAATAAACCATGCAGCTGTAATAAGGGAAAGAGGAAGATTCTATGTACCACTATGTAGTGATCTCTAAGACACATTAAGTAAAAAAAAAAAAAAAAAAAGGAGGGGGGGGCCAGCCCGTGGCTCACTCGGGAGAGTGTGGTGCTGATAACACCAAGGACACGGGTTCAGATCCCATATAGGGATGGCCGATTAGCTCACTGGATGAGTGTGGTGCTGACAACACCAAGACAAGGGTTAAGATCCCCTTACCGGTCATCTTTTGTAAAAAAAAAAAAAAAAGGTGCAGAAGAATGTATATATAATGCTACCTTTTGTGTAAGAATGGAAGGGAATATGAAACCATATATTATTCACTTTTCTTTTCAAAAAAGCAGCAATGGAAGAATTATAAACTTCCTAAAATAAGTCATCTACAGAGAGAGGGAGAAAACAGGAGAGGGGACAGTGACATATATATCCACTTTTATAGTATTAGTTTTGGAACCCAGAGGATATTTTTCATAGATGAAAAAATTAAACCAAATTAAAATTCAAACCAATTCCTAAAAATCAAAAACAAATTAATGAACAAATGAACCTACTTCTATGCTCTGTGTCAAAGGTCGCCAAACTATGATCTACAGGCCAAATCTGGCCCACCACCTGTTTTCACAAATAAAATTTTACTGGAACACAGTCATGCCCATTTACTTACATATTGTCTCTAGCTGCTTTTGAGTTATGGTGGAAGAGTTGAATAGTTGCAATGGAGACCATATGAACCACAAAGCCCACAATATTTACTATCTGGTCCTTCAGAGAAAAAGTTTGCTGACCCCTACTCTATATCAAGTTAGCAGCATAATCACACAGAAAATTATTTTGATTTGAAATACAGAATTCTGTACATCTTGAAGACGAAAACAAACAAACAAAAACCCCTTAAACAGTGGGTTTGTAGCAGTAATGTAAGATTTGTTCTTTTAAAATATGTTATAGGGCTGACTGGTTAGTTCAGCTGGTTAGAGCTCAGTGTTACAACACCAAAGTCCAGCCAGCCACCAAAACCAAAAATACATGAATAAAATATTATATATGTGTGTGAGTATGTATGAATGTGTTATGATATATATGTATGGATATATATATGTAGATATATAAGTAAACAATTACATTAATTTCATTAGGAATCAATATTTTTAAATAAAAGAAACACAAATATATAATACAGGATAGAAGAACAGCTAGGTAGGCAAACATATAATCAAGCAATTATAGGGTATTAGTCCATTTCTGTTGCTTATAACAAAATACCTGGAACTGGGTGGTTTATAAAGAAAATGAAATTTATTGCTTACAGTTTTGGAGGCTGGGAAGTCCAAAGTCCAAGAAACACATCTGATGGTGGTGACAGTGACCCAGGGGTCTCACAATGCAAAATGGCAGAAGCAGAGAGAGAGAGACTAACCTCTCATGTGCTCTCCTTTTAAAGCCCTCAGAACCACGCCCCTAACCACCATTATTAGTCTATTCACTATGGCATGGTCCTACAACCTAATCACCTGTTCAAGGCCCCACCTTTCAATTACCATAATAGGATTTCCCACCCTTCCAACAGTCACAGTGGCAGCCAAGTTTCTAATACATAAAACTTGGGGGACACAATTCAAGCTTCATGAGTTTCAGGGGCACATTCAATCCACTACGTATAGTAAAATTTTAATTGTAGAATCAAGGTCATGGTAAAGGGTGTTCATTGTAAAAACCTCTTCGACTTTACTACAAGCTTCAAAATTTTCATAACAAAATGTTAAGGAAAAAACTTATACAACATAAAAACCCCATAATATTTCATTTGAATTGGAATTTCAGTAAGAACTCAGAATTTATTTTATTTTATTTTTTTCCTTTTTGTCTTTTTTACTGACCGGTAACGGGATCGCAACCCTCGGTGTCGCGCCCGTACCGTGGACCGGCAACGGGATTGCAACCCTCGGTGTTGCTCCCGCACTGCGCTCAGCCAGTGAGCGGGAACTGGTCTCCACATGGGATCCGACCCCTCGGCGGGAGCGCTGCCACACTCCCAAGCAGCACACTCTCCAGTGCGCCACCGGGCCGGCCCCAGAATTTATTTTCAATTTGTAAAAATCCACATATTTTCTAGCTCTAATCCTTGAAAAAGTATGGAAACAATGATTATTCCACGGGCAATAAATATCCTATGTCCATGTTATGGTCTCTACCCCTTTTCCTTAGAGAAAGTTGTTTCCAAGAATGAGGCAGGAAATGTATAACATGAGTATGGAACATCCTGTCATGCTTGAAAGCAAGGAAGCTATAAAAAACTACCAGGGTCATGTCAAAGAGCCCAAGAGCCAATTTGAAGTGGCTCCCACAAGCCAAAAATGGGTAAGTTGAGTATCAAGAATGATGAGTACAATAATTAAAACATGAAATATATAAACTATGATTCATAATAAAACAAAAAAGATTATTTCATCAGCTACCTTTGGAGGTTGCTAAGACACTTATCTTGAAACTCATCAACAAAGGGACAGTATAATCTTAACTGTACTAAAATATACATGTGTGTATGCATAGAAAAGGGTGTCTCAAAGTTTATGCCTCAAGGTATTGACATTAATGATCTCTGGATGCTAGGGTTACAGGTGATTTTTATATTTTTGCTTAATTATATTTTTAATTTTTTCTACAGTGAATATGTATTGTTTCTATACTAAAAGTTATTTTAAGGTTATAAAACAATATGTAGTATATGAGACCATTTTTGTAAAAAGGAAAAATATTTTCCAGATTGCTAGTAGTGGTAATCTCTGGGTAGTAATTAAGATAAATTCAATTTTCTTCTTTTGGCTTCTCTATATTTTTTAACCTTTACTATAGTAAACATTAACTACTTGTATAAAAAAAAGACGAACAATAATACTCTTCTTTGAAAATAATGAGAATCAGAAGAGTAAGAATTTTGCAATACTTCTCTAGGACTGTCCAGGGCAAGTGTTCTGACCACTGGCATGAATATCTGGGTTCCTCTAGCTAATGAAGGAAATGGGTGCTTTCATAGCTTGTTGCCACTAACCATTAAAATCAGTAACAAACCTCTAAGTGACTTCCTGTGACTTTATAGACCTTTGAACCCAAACATGGGACACAAAGAAAGTGATTTATTTATTTATTTAAAAGATGACCAGTGAGGGGATCTTAACCCTTGACTCGGTGTTGTCAGCACCACGCTCAGCCAGTGAGCAAACCGGCCATCCCTATATAGGGATCTGAACCTGGCCCTATATAGGGATCTGAACCCTTTCCCCTTGGTGTTATCAGTACCACACTCTCCCAAGTGAGCCACAGGCTGGCCCTAGGAAAGTGATTTAAAACAAAAGCTCTTAGTAGTTTTTCTTTTTTTTTAAAAAAAAAAAAGATGACCGGTAAGGGGATCTCAACCCTTGGCTTGGTGTTGTCAGCACCACGCTCAGCCAGTGAGCCAACCGGCCATCCCTATATAGGATCCGAACCCATGGCCTAGGTGTTATCAGCACCACACTCTTCCAAGTGAGCCACGGGCCAGCCCTTCTTAGCAGTTTTTCAAGAGCATCTGTAATAAGGTAGTCTTCTCTGCCCTCTACTGGTGATGAAGATAAAATCTACTTGAAAATAAATGGTAGCATTCACATAAAACAGCAGTTTTCTTTTCTTTTTTTTTTTTTTAAAAAAAAAGATGACCAGTAAGGGGATCTTAACCCTTGACTTGGTGTTGTCAGCACCACGCTGTACCAAGTGAGCTAACCGGCCATCCCTATATAGGGATCCGAACCGGTGGCCTTGGTGTTATCAGCATCACACTCTCCCAAGTGAGCCATGGGCCGGCCCCTAGGCAGCAGTTTTCAAGGTGGTATAAGGACCTGCACTTCCCCAGGGTTCCCAAGATCCTTCTAGGGGGTCTGCAAGGTCAAAATTATTTCATAATAATACTAAAACATTATGTGCCCTTTATACTGTCATTCTGTCATGAGTGTAGCTAGTATAAAAAGTTTATTGATATAAACTCAGATTCCATGTTGCAACAAAACTTTAAGAAATGACCTCTTGTTGAGTTTTAGTATGGCATAAAAGAAATCCTTCTTTTA